GTGCATGTTTTGTTGGAGCAGAGAGCGGTGTCTTTGCTGCTACAGGCGATTCCGGAGAGATTGAAGACCGAGATCGTTTCCACTCGAATGTTGGGGTCAGTGATGATATTTTACAAATTGCTGACGGTCTACCAACCAGGTGGAGCAAATGAGCGCAGCACAATGTTGAACTTCTTGGTGCAACCATCTTCAGCAACCTCGATCTCAGAGGCTATTAAGGGAGTGCGACAATGGGCGCAATGGCGTTCCCGATTAAGGGAGCTGCGAGCATCCGAGCCGGACGCTACCTTGCTTATCAAGGGATTGGATGCTTTATCATCCGCGTTGCTGGCAAAACACCCTACGGTGCATTTCAGAGTGGCATCCTTTCGGGAGAAATTGGGGGTGGACTACTCGCCGACCTCTGAAACTGCGACACAACTAGCTGAAATGTTACAGGCAGAGTTTGAACTGCTATTGCATAGTGCTGGTGAACAAGAGGTGAAGCAGGACTCGGACGCCAAGAAAAGGGCCAGGTTAAACAAGGCCCAAAAAGGGAACTGGTGACGAGACAGAGGAGGGTGACAAAGGCAAAGGGAAAGGAAAAAGGTACAGCGGAGATGGTGAACGTCCTTTCTGTTGGATATATGGGAAGACCGATGCAGGTTGCAAGTTCGGATCCCGCTGCAAATTTCGCCATGACAAAGACTCCCTTGAGCGAGGAAGATGTTTTGAGTGTGGGGCCGTTGGCCATCTGCAGCCGCAATGTCCATATAAGGATGGTGCAAGTTCCAATGTGGACTCAAACCCTGAGAGAAGCAGATCTAAAGGGAATTCTCCCAAAGGGGGAAAGGGCGGCAAAGGTGCGAAATGGGGAAATGCCAAAAAGGCAGAGGTAGCTGAAGGGGGAGATGAGACGGCTAATGCGGGATTGGATAAAGGTTCTGCAAGTCCCTCATCACCATCAACACCCAATCAAGTCCTTGCTGAAGCGTTGGAAGTGCTGAAATCTATGAAGCTGTCATCAGCGCAGTCAGCATCGAGCGGGGATCCCAGTGTTCGAATGTTATGCGGATCTGGATTGTTTCAGCAGGAAGGGAGAGTGGCGTTGGTGGATACAGCTGCTACGCATCTTGCGCGGACGCTTTTTCCATGGGAATGTTTACCCGACACTACTGTTATGGTGCAAAGCGCGCTTGGTGGTGTGGCAATGAGGATTACAGAGAAAGGGACGTTGATTAGGGAAGACAATGGGCCCCTGATTATCCCTCTCTGGTTGATTTTGGAGTTTGGGGCGAACCTCACGTGATCAATGGGATGTGTCACGTGGGTGCAAAATCTTCGCTGGACCAGCTCTTGTGGTTTGAACATGGCTGTTTGGTTATGGATTACAAAACAGCTGAAAAAATGGTTTTGCATGCTGAAAGGCAGCGTGTGTCTTGGTCCCATTCTCAATGGAGGAATGGAAGGGCGGACTGTGGAGTCGGTTCGTCGGATGCCACGTTGTTGCCGAAGCAGGGAGAAGGCCGAGGAGTATGCGTTCTACATGTGGCCAGGGTTTCTGACACCAATGAGTGTTCGGGAATGGGCATGTTGGACTCGGGAGCATCACATCCTCTCAGATCACTTCGTCCTGGAGAACAGCTTCCGCAGCAAAAGGTGTTGGTGTCTTTAGCTGTTGGATCTCGGGAGATGTGTATTACCCCAGGTGGGACCCTGGTAACTCCTGAAATGGTAGATCCACTAGTGCCAATTGGCAAAGCGAGCGCCTTGGTTGGTCTCAGAGTTCAGTGGCGTGGTGGCAAGTGCACAGCCTCACATCCTGTTCTGGGGGAACTTCGCGTTCGTGATCTGAATGGGTGCCCTTGTTTGGAAAAGGAAGTGGCGCTTCAGATCATTGATGAAATGGATTGGTGCTCACCAAAGCAAGCTTTGAAGGTGGCACGTATGGTTCAAGGGTGTCCGAATACGGACAACGAGGTGGCTGTAAAAACGTCGTTGCAAAGCGCAGCGCGGACAGCGTCAGCGAATGAGGAGGAGTTCGTCCAGGCATGCTGGAGATTTCTTCGGTGGTATTATGGGGATATACCAGAAAATATGCTGATGGAGCTGTTGCCACGTGGAGATATTGCGGCGTTGCCTTTCAACCGTCATAAAAGGAGACGGCTGGCACGAGCAAAAAGGGTGGTGGTACACCTATTTTCAGGAAAACAAAAATGGCATTTTCCCAGTCGGGATGTGGAGGTACTGGAGCTGGATTTGACAAAAGGTGGTGACCTACATAATTCGAGCGTCTGGAAGTATCTTCTGCATCTGGCGGCTGAAGGAAAGGTGGTTGCTGTGGTGGGAGGACCTCCATGCAGGACAGTGTCAAGGTTGAGAGGTGAAGACGGTGGTCCACCTGTATTACGCCGACGCTGTGGACCTGAACGGTTGGGGTTAAAGAGTCTTCCTTGGCCACATCAAGAATTAGCCCAAAAGGATGGTGTTTTACTTCTGAAGATGCTTTTCCTATATGACGTGGCGGTGCATTCAAGGTGTGGAACTGCTGAAGTCATCAATGGAAGTTCTGTCTTCTTTGGCATGGAAAGCCCTGGGGACCCTGAACTCATAGGGAAAGATTTCTCTCAGAACGGCAAAACGGTCTTGAGTGCTGAGGATCTGGTGGATGGTTCTCAGGAAGGGCTCTCAAGTCCTACCTTCTGGAGTTGGCCAGAGGTGAAAAGCTTTTGTGAGCGTTATGGAATGTACGCTGCACACTTTGATCAAGGAGCATTGGGACATGCTCTGGTGAAACCTACGACTTTCCTGGTGTCTGATATGGAACTATGGGAATCGTTGGAACAGGTTCGCGTGGTTGTTCCGTGGTCAGCAACATTCGCTTCTACCCTGGAAGAGCGTATTGGACAATCCTCTATATGGGCGCGATGGGCGTTTGGATTGGTTAAAAGAATACGTCACAGGTTGGCACAATGGTTGCATGAGAGCGATGCTGAACGGGAAGCTACGGTGTTAAAAAAAGAAGAACGAGAAGGGACGTTACGGAGGTTGACGACCGAGGAGCGAGCTTTCCGTGACCATTGCCTAAGGGGGCATATTCCCTTCAGACGTGATTGTCAAATCTGTGTGTCTGCTGCTGGAAAAGAGCGTCGCCATTTGAGGCGAAAGCATGGGGATGCTTACACTTTATCATTGGACTTAGCGGGTCCATACAAGTGTTCAAAGGATGCTCACCAGCAGAAGCCACGACACGCTGTTATTGGTGTGTATCAATTTCCAATGTTGGATCCCAATGTGGGTCGCCCTCCAGAAAAGGAGGAAGATGCGGATGAGGTGGAAGATCAGGTGGTAGATGATGGTGCTGGTGTTGGAGAATGGTTAGGCGATGCAGTCGCTAACTTCGAGGAGGAAGACTCTGCACCGGTGGAACCTGCGCCAGTTCTGGAGGCAGAGGTGTTGAAAATTCAAGCTTCTGAAAAATCCTGGAAGGAACTGAAGGACCACTTGACCCAACCGGTCCGTATGATCAACTTCGTTATGGTGGAGCCGATTGTGGACAAACAGCAAACAACTGTTTTATCGGCAGTTCAAAGAATGATGGTGCGCTTGCAGAGACATGGGTATCCGGTGTTGAGAATCCACTCAGATCGAGCGGGGGAGTTTGTCAATGCACGCTTCCGGTCCTTTTGCGAAACTCGTCTGATATATAGGACCACTGGTGATCCTGGAGTCCCGCAAACAAATGGGCGCGCTGAAGCATGTGTGGGTTTATTCAAACGTGGTGTCAGGTCGCTCTTAAAGGAGGCGCGACTCGGGCCGGCGTACTGGGCACTGGCTGCTCGCCATTGGTCAATGTTACGGTGGCAGAAAGCTGAAAGGGAGTTGGGGTTGAATCCTAAAGCATTGCTTCCCTTTGGTGCTCAGATTCAAGTCAAACGTCGTCCGTGGGAGTTGCTGGGTCCGGATGGAACAAAGAAAGGTCGGCAATGGGTCGATCGTACGCAGCCTGCACTTCTTTTGGGTCCATGCGATGACCTACCTGGTGGTTATTGGGTGGAAGCTCAAGGGACTGCAAAAGATCCGGATGAACTGGTGTTATTTCCCTGCACTACGATTTTTTCCAATATAAAGGAACCGCCTGAATTGGAGCTGGAAGGGGTGGTAGAAGAACAGGAGCCTTCTCCTCCAGAGCATCGTCTCAAGGGGAAAAAACCGGCGCTTCGGTTCGCTGATGAGGAAGGTCCTCCTTTACCTCCGCCTCGCGATCCTCCAGTTCGTCATCGGTTAAATGAAAAAAGCCCGGCCTCTTCACTGCGTGGTCATGTGGGCTCCTTGCGCTTGCTTCGCAAGCGGGGGGAGAGTCCGCCCTTAGAAATTTTCGAGGATGACATGCAGGGTCTGGGGGAGCTGGAAGAAAATGCAGATGTTGAGGACAATGTTCCTGGTGATGAGTATTGGCCGACTTGCTGTTCTCCTCATGAAAATGCTTATTTGGTCTGCAAAAGTGAGACTGCTGAGGATGGAACACAGTTGGAAAAAGAAGAGCAAAAAGCCAAGTCAATGTATGAAAGGTCTATGTATGATTACGTGGACTGTGAGGAGCTTTTGGAAGGGATTGTATACCCAAAGAGGGTGAATCGAAGAGGTGGTATCAACAATTGGTGTACAGTACGCGAGCTCTGGTGTTGGGCCACTATACTCATGGCGGAGTGTGTGGTATCACAAAAGAGACTCATCGAAGACCATGGCTATGTCGTTATTTGGCATCATTCGTGAGGCACCACAATCCTGAAGCCAAATTTTCTGCTCTTCAAATCTCGTGCAATGCTCCGGTGTCATTGCATAGGGATAGTCACAATGAAAAACATTGCTGCAATTATGTGTGTGGCTTTGGTGACTATAAAGATGGTCAGCTGTGGGTTGAGGATGAAAAGGTTTTAGAGGAAGGAGCTGAAGTGGTGGAGCAATCTTATGGGAAGAAAGTCCTACCTGGAAAATTGGTGGATATCCACTGGAACTTCATGTCGTTCTTTCCGAGAAAGCTGCATGGCCCTATGCCTTGGAAAGGAAACAGGGTATCCTTGACAGGGTACACACCTGTTTTTATGGAGCGTTTGAGCTACAAGGATAGGTGCTATCTTCTCCAATGCAAGTTTCCTCTTCCGGAACCACAGGCTGAAGAAGGTGAAAAAAGGAAGTGGTTAAAAATGACGTTGAAAGAGACCTCGCTGGACGACCTTGCAGAAGAAGTCGACTACGCTGTGTTCGAAGCGCATCAATGGGCTCTAGAAGAGCATTTGAGTATTCGACGCCTAATTGCTGAACAGGAATGTTGCATCTTGGACGAGTTCCATGGATCGGCCAATGAGTCGAGTGAAGAAAAAGGATCAGAGACTAGAGAATGGCTGGTTAAAGCAAAACGGGCTGAGGAACAGCTATCGAAGTTTTTGGTCAAAGCAGCTCAAGTTCAGCAAATGGTACAAGAAAATACTGCGCTTGAGGCAGCAGAGGAGGTTGAGTTCCTGCAAACAAAAACAATCCCTACACAAGAAGCCATGCAAGAGCTGGAAAAGTGGAGGGAATCATTGTCGGACGAGGTGACGTCTTTGGTGAAAGAGTTGGAGGTGGTGGAACCAACAACTCAAGAAAAGCTGGACAAATTGGCGGAAGAGCCTAATGCACCGGTGATTGAGTACGTTCCCAGTCTGGTGGTGTTTACCCGGAAGCAAGGGACAGGGAGGCGACGTGCCCGTATCTGTGCATGTGGAAACTTCATTTCGTCAACGGCAGCTACAGAATATGAAGGGCCGAGGTCACTCAGTCGTCACTCGCTGTACGCTCCAGGTTTAGATTCAACTACATTCAGGTGTCAAGTGAGGCACGCAGCATATATGGTGTGGATCATCGCTGGCTTAGACATTTCCAAAGCTTTTCTGACGGCGCCGATGAATAGGGCGCAAAGAGAAGGGCGTTTGGTGGTGGTGCAGCCCCCAAGGGCGGCGGTGAAATTGGGTCTTTGCACAAAAGAGGAGCGGTGGATTGTGAGGAAGGCCTTGTACGGTTTGGCCGAAAGTCCTGCAGCATGGGTGGAGTGGCGAGACCAACGTCTTCAAGGGATGTCTTGGGTGTCAAAGGATGGACAAGCGATGAGCTTTCAGAGGTCCAATGCAGACCCAAGTCTGTTCCTTATTATGGCGCAAGAGAAGCTGGAAGGTGCAAGCAAGTTGGTAGGGACAATGGGTCTTTACGTGGATGATTTTTTGATGGCTGGGACTATGACAGTGCTCCGGGAGGCCTTGGAACAGATTAGGAAGGAGTGGAAAACTTCTGAACCCGAGTTCTGTGGTCCAGGCTGCGGTGATGGATTCCTGAAGTTTTTAGGTGTCCAAATCTGGTATCGAAATGGCAGCTTCTTTCTCAACCAGGAGGACTTTGTGAGAGATTTGCTGAACCGACGAGGGTATCAGATCGATGAAACTGGAAAAGGGAGTAACCTGCCAATGGTGAAAGAAACTCCAGGTGAAGAAGAAGAGGTGGATATTCCTTCCTTGCGAGCGGCTCAAGGTGCCGTAGGGGAGTTCCTCTGGGTGGCAATCAAAACTCGACCTGATTTGGCGTTCTGCACGAGCCAGTTGTCTTTGTGGACATCCCGAAGGCCGCGATTTGTGGTTACAAAGGCTGAGGAGGTTTTCCGATACCTTGCTGCAACTCCAACGTTAGGCTTGACGTTCGGAGCAATCGCAACATGCGAAAAAGAAAGAAATGAGGTGTTGCGTTATGGACGAGGTGTCAAGGTGGTGGAGTCCTACGCGGATGCCATTTTTAATGCAGGTGAAAATGAAAAGAGCCACTCAGGAGCGGTGGTGGTGTGGGGTGACTGTCCAGTGATGTGGGCAACACAAAGACAATCAACGGTGGCTTTAAGTACAGCTGAAGCTGAATTACATGCGTCCATAGAGGGAGCAACGATGATTCAGTCGTGCACCCCTATAATTGCCGCTTTGGTTGGAACAGGTGAAGAATCGCTGCAAAAAGTGCTGTATACAGATTCGGTTTCAACGTGCTCGATCATTCAATATCCTGCTGGAAGCTGGAGGACAAGACACCTGAGAATTCGAGCAGCCGGTGTCAGGTCTCTGGTGGACCGTGGTTATATGGTGATAGCGCATCTTCGCGGTGAGTATATGATCGCTGACCTGTTGACTAAGTTGATGAGTGGACAGGTGTACGCAAAGCAAAAGGCACTTTGGGGTCTCCGACTGTTGGTACAAGGGACTGACTTGAAAAAAGCCTCGCTTGCAATGGCGGTCATGATGGTGGCTGCATCTCTGCAAGGGATGGCAACTGGTAGCGAAGAAGTGTCAACTGCTGGATTCTTTTGCTCAGAAGAAGGGGTGTGCAAGGTCGCCAACACGTCTACGGTGATGGTTCTGGCTCAAGGTATTGAAATGGTTGTCAACAATTCAGACCTTGTTGCATATTTGGTGGCAGCAATTATACTCTGGGAACTGGCATGGTGCCTCTTTCGACGGCTGTATAAATGGCTGTGGATCAGAAAGCGGTGGTTATTCCTGCGAGTGCCACTTTGTATACAACAGTGGGTGGGAACTGTATGCACGCAAGCAGTGACTGTGATGTTCTGCGATATTCACAGCTCAGAGCTAAGACGCTTTGTAAGCATTGCCTCAAGGATGGCTGGGTGGTGAATGCTGAGTTCCTTGGTGAGGAACGAGCCGCTGGAACGTGAATTTTCCAAGTGCGAGGTGAAGAAATCCTCAATGGTAAAGGATTCAGCCAATGAGCTGAAGGTTCGTCCTGGAAGACGTTAAACCACAATGTGCATTTCAAGCAGCTGGCTGCTGCCTAAATGGCGGTTTTTGGCCAAAGATCTGCACCTCCAATGTGTCCTAGGAAATCCTAGGACAGGGGGAGTGCGGAGCTGCAATTGGTATTGTAGAAAGGAGTTGGTATTGGAAGTTGAAGGGTCAATGAACCCGGTAATCTTTGGCTCAAGCCATGACCAAAGCGGTCAAAGGTTTCGTAAAAAGTGTGCCCTTGGTTTGGGGTCTTGTTGTTCGGTTGTTGGTTGTTCCAGGGGTATTAAGGGCTTCTGTTGGGGTTGACTGTTTTGTTTCTTGTCCTCCTTCGGTTGCCCCCCGTATAGGGTTTAGGGCCTTGGGGTTTTAAGGCTTAGGACTGTAGGGCTGAGAGGCTTAGGGTTGAGGGCGTTGGGTCGGTTGGGCCCGGTGCAGAGGATTTATGGGGTTTAGGACATGAGGCCCCAAGCCCCAAAACCGAAACCCTAAACCTAAACCCTGAACGCTAAAAAGACCTAAGTCCCCCACTTTCCTGCTGGGTCTAGCGCTTTAGTTAGGGTTTAGGGTTTCGGGTTTGGTGTTTCGTGCTTAGTAAACCCTCAGCGACTGGGATGGGGGGGGAGGGGCGGGGGGGGGGGGGGGGGGGGGTGGCCCTAAACCCTAACCCTAAACCCTAAACCCTAAACCCTAAACCCTAAACCCTAAACCCTAAACCCTAAACCCTAAACCCTAAACCCTAAACCCTAAACCCTAAGGGCAGGCTCTGGGATGCCAGGCATCAGGGTCTTAGCGTCTTTGGACCCCAGAGTAGCCCAGGAACACAAGGGGTGGCCTTTTTGGCTTAAAGGGGCCGTGTATAAGGGAGGCTGGACCCCAAAAGAAGGGGAAACAGGGCCTACTCTGGGTCCTAGCTCTAAACCCTGAACCCTAAACCCCAAACCCTAAACGCTAAACCCTGGGTCCGTGTTGCCCTGAACACTAAACCCTAAAACCTTCAAACAAGGGAATAGGGAACTATCCTGGGTCTTTGTAGGGTTCTTAAGGCTTTGGGGTCTTAGGGTGTAAGCTTTTGGGTTGTCGGGTTGTCAGAGCTTTCGGGTCCCGGGCCGGTCCTGGGAAAGGGGCGCTTGAACCAAGGCTTTGCCCGGAGTATCGCAACTGAGCCCTCAACCCCAACCACGCCAAGACCCCTAAACCCTAAACCCTAAACCCCTAAACCCCTAAACCCCTAAACCCCTAAACCCTAAACCCTAAACCCTAAACCCCTAAACCCTAAACCCTAAACCCTGAACCCTAAACCCTAAACCCTGAACCCTCCCATAGTCACCCAGGGCCACGGCTGCTCTCTAATCTTCCAAAGCGGAGTGCCAGAAAAGCCTTCATGGCCACCTGCGCAGGGGTTTAGGGTTTAGGGTTTAGGGTTTAGGATTTAGGATTGAGGGTTCAGGGTTTAGGGCCTCAGGGTTTAGGGCCTCAGGGTTTAGGGTTTAGGGTTTAGGGTTTAGGGTTTGGGGTTCAGGGTTCAGGTTTTAGTGTGTATATACGCCTGGTTGGGAGAGCTGAGTGTTGAGGGCTGCAGGGTTGCCCTGAACCACCTCAACAGCACTCAAAACCCTCAAAACCTTAAACCCCAAAGCTGCAATGCTGGGATTTAGGAAGCCCTCAGCCCTACAGTCTAAACCCTAAACCCTAAACCCTAAACCCTATACCCTAAACCCTGTTCAGGGTTCAGCTTTTGTTTCGTCCTGCAGTCTTGGCGTGGTTTGTCTCAGGGGCCAACCACGTCATAAACCCGTCGAAGAAGGCCCCATGAACCCCGAAACCCTAGAATTCACTCAAGTTCTCTAAGCCCTAAACCTTAAACCCTAAACGTCTCTCTGAAGTCCACCCGCCCAGTGTCGCGCGCCTTGGCCTTGGCTAACCTCGGCGCCCAGGAAGGTGCTAGAGGGTCTGGAGGCCCATTACGCTTGTGGGATTTTCCAATCCCTAAACCCTAAACCCTAAACCCTAAACCCTAAACCCTAAACCCTAAACCCTAAACCCTAAACCCTAAACCCTAAACCCTAAACCCTAAACCCTAAACCCAAATTTAAAAGAAGCCGGGGGGGGGGGGGGGGAAGGGGGGTTGATAAGGGTTTTCCTAAACCCGAAACCCTGTAAACCCTGAACCCTCCACCTTAAGCTCCAAGTTCAGGGTTCTTTCGGCTTCCAGGCGGGGCTCTTACAGGTTTAGGGGCGGCCTCCTAGGGGCTTAGGGGGGGGTCCTATTTAGGGTTTAGGGTTTAGGGTTTAGGATGGAACAGTTCGAGTCCTGGGCTCATGTGGGTGACACCGGGGCCGAAGAAGATTTCTTTCCAGATGGGGGCTCCAGCTGTTGATGGATTTGGGGCCCAGGTCTCTAGGAGGCTCTGAGCTTTAACCCCCTGTACCCGAAACCATAAAGCACCTAAGCCCCCCTAAACCCTGCACCCTGCATGCGGGCTAACATCTCAGGGTGTGTAGAAGCTTAGCAAAAGAAAGGCCCAAGATCCCCTGTTAGAACTGGTTTAGTGTTTAGTGTTTAGGGTTTAGGGTTTAGGTTTAGGGGATACCCTGAACGCAACCGGTCTCTAAGCCACCTGGAACCCCAAGGCCCTAAACCCTGAATCCTACAAGGCTACTTGGAGGTTCATGGCTACTTAATAACCCCAATCATAACTGTACTTATACGCAGTAGGTTACCCTAAACCCTAGACCCTAAACCCTACTTGGGTTAAAACTCCAAGTACAGCCCTGAACCCAACCATCCATCTCCCGGCCGTGGAGCCATAGTGGCGAGGTCGCCGGCGTGCCTCGCAACTTCAGGTTTAGGGTTTAGGGTTTAGGGTTTGGGGTTTAGGGTTTCGGGTCCAGTGCTTCCTGAACCCCGCAAGACAGAACGAGGGCCCAGAGCCCTCGGCTCCCGGAAAAGCCCTCTTATCCAACCCTAACCCGAAACTAAACCCCACCTAAACTCCCCAAAATACTGAAAATAATTGCCCAAAACCTAAAAACAAAAGCCAGGTTGTTACACATTTTAGGGCTTAGGGTAAGCCCTAAACCCTAAACGCTAAACCCCGAACCCTAAACCCCTAACCCCTAAAACCTAAACCCCAAACCCCAAACCCCGCCCCCCCACCCCCCCACAAAAAGCCCCTTCAAGCGTGCGCCTTCGCTCGGCCGCGCTCCCCACCGCGGCTAGTGAGATTTGTTGGAGCCCGGCGAAGGCGGTTCAGGGTTTGAGGTTTGGGGTTTAGGGCTTGGGGTTCAGGGTTTAGGGTTTAGGGCTATTTAGGGCCGGCAGTGCTGGTAGGGCTTTAGAGGACTAGGGCTGATAGGACTTGTAGTTGAGGGCGGTAGGGCTTGTCAGGGTTATAGGGCTTGTAGGGCTACAGGGATTGTAGGGCATGTCCTCTAGGGCTGAGGGGGGGGGGAGCTTGCATGATCTATTGGGCAAATTGGGCTGTGGGCGCTTATAGTGCCTTTATGGCTTGGGATTCAGGGTTTAGGGTGCTTTTTGGTGAATGGAGGTGAACGGAACCCAGCTTTAACCACTAACGTGCATTGGAGTCAAGCTCACGATGCTCTTGCTCACATGGGGGTTTACGTAAAATAAGGGACCCCAAATATAGACCCCAAAGAGTAGGGATCCCTTTGTACTAATAAGGCCCCCAATAAGGTACCCCCTATGCAGGGGGGTTTAGGGTTTGGGGCCGAACCTAAAGTAGAGAAGCTCTCAGCAAAGCAAGCTGTCATGCTACGCATCTCCAGAGCAGCGGCACCCCCACACTCTACAAGCCCTAAACATATCCTCTCAACCCTCAACCCGAACACCCTAAAGTTACCCTAAACCCTAAACCCTAAACCCTAAACCCTAAACCCTAAACCCTAAACCCTAAACCCTAAACCCTAAACCCTTCAGAAGCCTGGCTCCTCTTTGTCCAACAGCGGCTTGGGACTCCCGGGCTTCGGTCGCTTCAGGGTTTTTGGGACAGGAAACTCCGAGCTTCAGGGTTTGGGGATTTGGGGATTTAGGGTTTAGGGTTTAGGGTTTAGGGGTTGGGGGGTTGGGATGTAAGGATTAGGGTTTACGGTTTCGGTTTAGGGATTAGGGTTGAGGGTTTAGGGTTTGGGGCTTGGGGTTTGGGGCTCAGGGTTTAGGGCTTAGGATGGGCTTGGGGCCTGGGGTTTGCGGGGTTCGGGCTTAGGCCCCAAGCCTTAGCAAGTCACACCTCCGACACACGCTCGAGCAAGGTTCAGGGTTTTGGGGCTTGGGTTTCGGGGTTTGGGGGTTCAGGGTGAATGGGGCTTGTGGTTCCTAAAGCATGACATCCAGTAGGGGGTCTTACGTGTGGCTGCCAGCTCTCACAAGTCCTGTCTGGCTTCACCCGCACGAACCTGCTTGAAGTAGTGCGGCCTGGTAAGACGAAAGGCTCACTAAACCCTAAACCCTAAACCCTAGGCCCTAAGCCCTAAGCCCTAAAAACCCTGAGCCCCGAGGGCGTGAGAGTGGAACGTATAAGCAGGAGGTATCGTATCTGTATTGACCCAAAGCAAAGCCAAGCCCAAAATTCTGAACCCTTCCACCTTGACATGCGACATCCAACACTCTGACTAAGCCACTAATCCATACACTCTGACACCCCCCCCCCCCCCAAAAAAAAAAAAAAAAAAACTTCGTACAGCGGGAGCTTGATGAATGGTCCGCAACAGTATGACTGTGTGATTAGGGTTTAGGGTTTATATGGTGGCTGGCTGAACCCCAAACCCCAAATCCTGAAGCCTAAACTCTAAAGCCTTGTGGATTTTCAGTCCCGGCCCACCTTGGGATTTAGGGTTGAGGGTCAGAACCTTCAAGAAACCCCGAATTA